AGCCGGACGGGGCTGGCGGAGGGGAGCTGGCCCGCCAGGCGATGCCCCAAGAGTGGGCGTATGGGCAGGGCTTGTCCTATACAGCAACTTCATGGTAAGTGTTCTGCATTAAAGGATTGAAGGGTGTCTCGTGCGCTGCCTGGGCAGGACTGCAGGGCAGGGGGGCAGAGCACCTCTCTGCCAGCTTCAGGGAAGCGTACGAACCTCTCGGGTCCCAGGAAAACCTCGCCTCCCTTACCACAGAGCATTCCCCTTTGCTGCCTGAAACCAGCCTAACGCCGAGCAGTCCAACAACCGGCCCGGCAGCACCGTACGGAAACCCCCTACCCGTGGGGCTGCCCCACTTCTGCCCTCTGCAAATCTCACGGCAAACTTTGTTCTGCCTTCCCACCTGGACAACCAACACCTTGGCTCCAGCCTTCCCGAAAGGCAAACCCTCAAAGCTCTCCATGCCTTCAGCTGGCTCCGCCGGGCTCTCGCTGGACAGAGGAGAGCCTCTGTATCACAGGGGGGCTTATGCAATTTTCTCCCCCCTTCCCTCCACCGAACCCCCGGCACGCAAGAGCACCAAACACCCCACCAGTTTGACCGCTCAAAAGGCTGGAACAGTGCTCTGGATGCAGCTCCCACAGTAACATTTTCATACATGAATCAGTTCAACAAATAAACGTGCTCTGACAAAGGCAATCAGATGTAGTATTCTGTGGCAAGGAAATGAAGGAGCAAGAGAGCAGCTTCGGCGCGGGCAGCGCGAGCATAGGGTTTCACTGACTACAATACTCTAATGAGATAGTTGACTTTCCGTAAGTCATGCTCATCTGGATTTCATTACGAGCCGTGGCTGAGAGCCAGGGCTGAAATGCTCTGGCCCGGGTGCAGGGCAATTTCAAAACAAAATGGACTCCAAACATCTGGAGAAATGAAGAAATTGGGAGAGTAACGTGCAGGGCGCAGGCTCCAGCTGATCCTATGGCATCTCCCCCGTCTGCTGCAGGCAGGGGAGCATCGGCAGCCCCGCTGCTCCGGGAGGCAGAGGCTGCGCCCGGATTTTCAAATAAGGCCACAGATTGAAAGGGTACGCAGTCAACTAAGTATTTCAAAATCACATTTGGCTTAGATCCCCGCCCGCTTGCTCTCTCATAAAAACGACATTCGTTTTCCGACGAATTTCGTCTCCCCTACTTGTGCTGTTAAACACGGATTTCACTCTCTTTGCTACTTAGGGACGTTTGCTTGGCAATGCCGCGGAGCGACGGCAACACGGGCTACGGAGTACTACAGCTCCACTGTCCCCATGTCAGCAGAATAACCGTATCGTCGATTCCGAACACCAGCCCCTACTGCATCTCCTTCCTTATCCTCTGTATCCACTGGGGAAAACAGTAACCCTGTTTCTCCTGCTGCCTGCGGTCACATTTAAGCAACTGCCCTATGACAAGCACTAAGGAAAGGATGAGGAGACTTAACCATAATTTTGGAGCAACTCTAGCAGTTTCTCCAAATGTAGATTTTTCAAGCTGATGTGCTTTTATTCTAATCCCATTAGTCCCTGATAAAAGAAGCATCAAAGCCAACCCACATCTATTAGGAAGCACTCACACTACCCTGGTAACAGTGTAGTCCTAAGACACTCAAACGATCAAATATACATCTAATTTTAAGAAAAAAAAATATGTAATAGTTCCTACACAGGCCATCTGGATTTATCTACCGTGCTTCGGGTAAAGCTCTTGGTTTGTACAGCGCTGTGACCAAACGCACGTGGTCTTCCACCTGCATCACGATGTACGTTTTACACAAATAGGATGGGAAAAACAAGAGAGGAGATCAACACATTCTCAGCGACTACAACCTCTCTGCGTTACTAAAGAGACGCTGTGCTAATTCCCTCCCATCTTAAGAGCTGAGCAAAGGAGCTTTGCAGAACACTGCCCTGGGCTGTGAAAGAGAGGAGAGGCAATGGCAAGCACACGCAGCCCGCACCGTGGCATCCGGAAAGCCTGACCTGTATTCTGCTCCCCATCCCTTGACAAAGCTCATTCGAATGGTGCACATTCTGGTCAGCTGGTACACAGCTTCGAAGCCCTGGTTTACAGACTGAGCCAAGAGAGCGGCGAATTCCTGGTTGTTAAAGATCTTCAAGTTACATCCTGTGAAGAAAAAAAGAACATGACAAGAACAAGGCATTAGCTTAACCAGATTAAGAAATCCCCTTCTTTCTGAGGATGGAAAGAAACTCAGTGCTGCTTTCCCACGTCCTCAGACCACGCGATACCATGCACAGGTCGTTTAAACCCAGCATTTCAGACAAGGAGTCAAGGTTGCCCCATTTGGAGCCCTGCGTCCAGCTCTGGAGCCCTCAGCACAAGGAGGACATGGACCTGTGGGAGCAGGGCCAGAGGAGGGCCACAAAAATGCTCCGAGGGCTGGAGCCCCTCTGCTGTGAGGCCAGGCTGGGAGAGTTGGGGGTGTTCAGCCTGGAGAAGAGAAGGCTGCGGGCAGAGCTGAGTGCGGCCGGTCAGGGCTTAAAGGGGGCCCAGAGGAAAGGGGGGGACAAGATTTTTAGTAGGGCCAGCTGGGACAGGACAAGGGGTATGGCTTTAAACTAAACCAGGGGAGGTTTAGACTGGATCTAAGGAAGAAATTCTTTCCAATGAGGGTGGTGAAACACAGGAACGGGTTGCCCAGTCGGTAGCAGAGGCCCCATCCCTGGGAACATTCCAGGCCAGGTTGGACGGGGCTGTGAGCAACCTGATGTGGTTCAAGGTGTCCCTGCTCCTGCAGGGGGGTTGGGCTGGGTGACCTCTAGGGGTCCCTTCCAACCCAAAACATTCTGTGATTCTGTGATTTCCACAGCTCAGATGCTGAAAAGGAAGCAAACCATATTACAGGGCAGAGAATGACGGATGCTAATGCCCACGCAGCAGACTGCGATCCACACGACCAGACTCGGGATCCTCACGCAGAACCTCCTTCTATCTCCTTTACAATCATTTCCCTCATATTGTGATTTAAAAGCCTAACTATGTCCGTAAAACTTAACAGCAGCAATCGCTACGGGGCCCGAAAGAAAGGAACGCACAGGCTAAAAATAGGAACTTGCGGGTGCTGGATTTGCATGGTGTCCGTCAGCAGAAGTAATGGAGAAATTCTGAAGTGAAACTGCTCTGGCAAGCCAGAAACCCCTTATCAGGATTAAAAAAGGCTGGTAGCAGAGCTGCTTTTGCCGTCATCGTCTCTTAAATGTAACTATCACGCGCCGAAGAATTTTCCTTTAGAACTGGAGTTTTCCCCCAACGTTTAGTCCCAGCTAAAAGACTGAGAACAACTTACCCGACTGTTTTTAGGTGAGGAAGGTGAAATGTAACACTTCAGAGTTTAAATTAATAAATGCACAACTCTTAAAAAAAGCGTGGCTACGCTTGCTTTCTCCCAGATAACCAGAAACAAGTTAAGCTCCGAAACTTGGCACACAACTGATGCTCATTTGGGATTACATAGGAGCCAAGACTGAAAAACAACCATTTGGACTGTGATGAATTGTATTTTTCTAAAAAATCACTTCTGAGCCTACTCTCTTGGGCTGGACTCATACTGTCATCTGTTTTGGGTCGAACTGCGTATAGCCAAGCGTAACCACAGGCAAGAGCTCAGCAGCTGCAGAAACAACTACCCGTTTCTGTGACCGTAAAAGAGCACGGCCCGAGAGCCATGGATCTCGCAGGGAGTCCGAAGGGAAGCGGCGTCGGGCATATTGCAGTCTAAGGGGGGGAAATAAGAAGGGCGAGAGCATCGGGGCCAGGCTGAGCACAAAGAGCCATGGCAAGGGAAGTATAAAAAAAACCCAAAACTTGATCAGGATCAGACTGCCAAGCTGTTGAGCCTTCAGGACGGGGTGGGAACAGGTCTCTCCACGACCGTGCCTGGGAGGAGTGGGTACGAGTTGATCTTGTCAACAAGAGAATGAAGAAACTGGTTCAAACCCAGCACCAATTTGAAGATGAGTCTGAGAAGGCGGCCAAAGACTGTGGCAAAAGTGGGGAGAGCTGGAGTCCAAAAAATGTGCCTGAGATGAATCTACAGCGGAAATGTGGGTTGTTTATATCTTCAGATGTTGACTCCAGCCGGGGCGGACTCTTGTGATGTGGCTGGAGAATTAAGTCATGTTTGCAACACTGGCAGCTGCTTCCTAAGCATCCGAGAAAGGAAACCCGTTAAGATGGGGCAGAGCGCGCAGCGTATGGATCTCTTCTCAAAAGGCTGACAATCTTTATTCAAATATTTCTAAACAAAAAATTTTGTCTTTTAAATATATACATACTTTTAACTGTAAAAAAATCAGCTTTTGTAAGCCCAGCTAAATAGCTAAATTCCCTTTCGATTGGCATCCTCCCATCCTAGCTCTTTTGCACATATCTAACAAAAAAATATTTTCTTCCTAAATAGATGCAGTAAATTCTCTGGCAATCCTTCAGCATACTTTAGACATATGTTTGCTCTAACCAGAACATCAAGGTGCCTGCAAATGCAAGATTTCCCTAGAATGAAACTAATTTACAAGGGGGAGAAGGGAATTTTTATTACAGAACAGAAAAAAGTAACAATTTAGATCTATTATGGGTGAATCTAAATTAAGAAAAATTTCTTATGTTATATTCTTTTACTTAAAGGTATAAACAAAATTATGAACAGGACTATCAGATAATGACAGTGCAATAATGGACTGATAAAACACTGCACGGAACAAGTGGCGGATACTGCTCTTAGTTCTGCTTAGATACTGAAGCACTGTTTCTTCCTACTTGTATGAATGCAGCGCAAGCAACTGGAGCATACACAGTAGCCTCCTTTATCAGCACCTCCATCCTACATGCTAGGATGCATGCCCTGCTCAAGTTGTCTAGTTGCTTACAACAGGGTTCAAGTTTCTGATTCTTGTCAAGAACGGAGGTCAAAAAATCCGTGCCTACCTTGACGAGGAGCTTGCTTTCCGTAGCAAGTCCCCGTTTGCAACCGGCGCAGCCTGCGTAGGTGCCAGACAAGGCAGGCTTCCTTACCTGGTGGAATCTTGCAAACTGTTGCTGGGTGCCAGCCGTAGCGTTGGTTGCAGTTGGGAGACTGGACAAAAATGGCACTGTCACTAAGGCACTCGGCAAACACCTCGCCGCCAATGTAGTAGAGCCTCACTCCTCTTCCTAGGAAACACACGGCACAGTTTTGGTTTAGCTCAGAACCATCAGCTGCAAAATCTGCAAGAAGAGCTGGTAGCGACACAGGCAACCTCTGCGTGAGACAGCCCTCAAAAAGCAGCTGAACCACGGATGATGGAAAATGAAAACCACCTCTTTCGGCTCACCGGGTCATCTCATTAGGGAGCAATAAATTTGCTCGGTGAGCGGGTTAAGCTGAGGAAGGCAGGAGGACCAATTTATAAAGTCAGAATTGCACTCTCTGGCCCCACTGTCCATCACAGCCTGGACTGCATATATTCACCACCTCACAGCCTGCTTACTGCAAACATACATGTCTCTGATATTTTCCATATGAATGTTCTATCAGTTACCATATGGGTTTTAACCTTTTCTGAAAGTCATCGCAGCTGGATACAACTGTTTGTTTATTTACTTAGTGATGTGGAATTAAATTATACAGCGTTTTCAAATCATTGCCTTTTTATCGAGATTCCCATTGTACACAAGGACGAACGTACATTTCCCATAGGAGTTAACATAAATTATTAAAATCTCAGTTAATAAAGAAACAAATTTCAGGAATACGTCTTTGTTGCTCAAACAAACGTTTTCTGGGGTCTTACATTCCTATTTGAGTATCTTGCTTTCAGTCTTCCATAGGGCACAAGGAGCCTGCTGAATTTAAAGACTGATTTCTGAATCTTGGGGTTTTTTTTAGGGTTGGGGGGCTTCAGTGTGAGAAATCGTATTAGAAACAAGTAAGGAAAGATCCTCCTGTATGAAATTTACTGCTCAGGAAAGGGTAGAAAGGGGAGCAAAATCACAACAAAAAGCAGGTTCATTTTTGAGAGAAGTCAGCAGAAAACACAGCAAAGCGTAAGCAATTTTGCCTTTTCTTAAAATTGCATAAATCTGGGATATTCAATTTAGTGCAAGTTTAACTGAAAACAAAACTGAATGTTACCTTGCAGTATAAGCAGGAAAAGTGGAAATTGAGATGAAAATCAAGGAACTAAGTTTCCATTTAAAAAAGAACAGTCAGATAGGAAATAAAATAGGCAAGGGGGGAACAGGGATACAGAAGATTATCACGAACATCCAGCCAAATATAGTTCGGAAGAGTGCACATAAAAGTTTCAATTCTGTCTCTATTACATGCAGCAATTTTAGTGTGCCTCAGTGCATTTTTTTATTATACTTTTATGAAAAAATACAATTAGTGTTCCTTATGGAAGATTAGCCTGCTAAAACACCGTTCAAACACTGCAGTGTTCTAAAACTGACCAAGCTGCGTGCCAATCAGGTCAATAAAAAGCTTGACATGCAGGTCTCCTCCTTCCATCCCTGGGGGTGTTTAAAAGTCAGGCAGATGAGGTGCTTAGGGACAGGGTTTAGTGGTGGGATGGCAGGGTTAGGTTGGGGTTGGTGATCCTAAAGGGCTTTTCCAACCTCAACCATTCAATGATTCCATGAAACAGAAATTACCAATGTGTCGTCTTGTGAGTTCCACTGCTGCGTTTCTGTTCACGTTGGACAGTAAACCAAGGCAGAAGCGTTCAGAATTAGATGGGTCGGTGAAACCATCCACGGTCATAGAGGGCTGGGAGGCGTGGAAAGTCTCTCCCACTCGCTGGTTGAGTTCGTAGTAGGATATCGAGCACCAGAAAGCTGGCTCGCAGTAGGTAACAGGCTGCAGATCTGCACAAAATACAAAGCAAAATGAATCACAGGCCCTCAGGAGGGGAGGGATGAAAAAAAAGCGACTGTTTTGAAATATTGTTTTGCTTCATTCCTTGGGCTCACTGTAACCATCAAACTTTAATTACTTGACAGATTTTAATGGACCGCAGCTAGAAAGTTACATCACCCCTGAAGCTTTTGGCACGGAACAATCACGAACAGTCAAAGACATTAGTCGCTTAGCAAGTGGGGTGTCACCTAACTATCCTCATACTTGGAGAAAATTTTAAAAAAAACCCAACAACTTAGCTTTACTATGAAATGTGGGATCACTTTTAGGTAAGAAAAGGAGGAAACAGAAGACCTTAGAAAGCACAGACCACAAACCTGCTTCCAGTAACACAGGTATCCGGAACGCTAATGCTGTGCCCTTACACCAAGTGGCCAGCGAGTCCAGCTTTCGTTCCTACTGACTCTGTTGTGATCTCTCTGGCACTGATGAAACCAGTGGAGTTGTCTGCAAGACGCACCAAATTGTATGCAACACGGGGCATCAAAGTAATTTAAAAATTAGATCCTTTCTTCTAGTCCATTTGATCTCAAAGTTTCAAAAGAAAATTCCCCAGAAGTGATGACACATCTCTTTTATTGGGGTTATGGTTTGACTCAGCCTGTGGACCAAAGTGAAAGGACCAAAGTTCACGAGCAGACTGAAGCAGTCTTGGGAAGACAACACTTCATCGGCACACAAGGTGGGACATTCAAATGGCATGGAATGATTTCACTGCTCCCACTGAGGCCAATGAGATTTCAGCAGAGGAAGGCTCAAGTCTTCTTGGAAATACTGCACTAGATGGTGCCCAGTCCTGCCATAAGCCAAGAATCTGCTGAGCAGAGGAAGTGGAAAGCAGGCTAAGCTCATTGGTAGTGCTCTATTCTCCACATTCGGTGCAAGAAATAAAAGCCAGAGAAGAATTCCCTCCAGTCCTCCCCTCAATTTATCACTCCATCCCCATTCAAATGGCGCTCAAGAGCAGAACAGAGCAACTTCCCATCTGGCCAAATAGTTGACATCAATCAGCAAACCCCAGCTTTTCCCACAGGCTTTCCCATCTGGTGCTCCTGCAAGGCTTAGGTGAATCTGGGGCTTAAGAGATCAGGTCCAAAAAATCAGGCTTAGGTGAATCTGGGGCTTAAGAGATCAGGTCCAAAAAAAATCAGACAGGTTTTTACCATCCCAGCCTCCTCTCATTCTGAAGAGGAGTGTCTCTACAGAGGCCTGAGAGTCATTTCTCATCTGGTACCTGCTGTTACTCCGTAACTTTTAGAAAGAGGTTGAAGCAGCCTGGCTCCAGCCAAAAGACGTTCTGGTTTCCTCTCTATTGGTGTGGTGCATGCGATCACAAAGTAGCTAATAATCAGAAAAAACCTTTGGTTTCTGCTTTGTTACAAGCTTTGCTGACAGCAAATAAGGAATTGAATAAAAGTGCATCTGGGGAACTCTGTAATCCTTAGCAGATCTTCAAAGTCCATGAATTCTGGAGCTTATACTCATTCCCAGCTTCCTTCTCTCTCTTTCCTTAATTGTATCATCCAAAAGAAAAACGCTCTATCAGAAGCAAAGCCCGAGGTTCCTGCTCTCCTCCACACATTACACCCACAAAGGAAAAAGCGTTACCTTTCTCTTAGGGAAATGGACGCTCAAAGTGAAAGCCAGCAGGAGGCAGTGCAATGGAACAGGGGTTGCTACATCAATTTAAGGGATCTGGTAAGCACACCCGCCCTTCCTTCACATTTTCAACGATTTTACAGCCTAAAGCAAGCCCCTCTCCGGACGTGCACAGACGATACCGAGCACATCCAGGGGTCACACAAGTTCACTGCCTCTGCCTTTTTCTCTTGTATGGTGTATTTGGTTGGGAAACTGCCACCTCAGGCGTATTTCTCCAATACCAGCCTCATTTCATCATTAAGAGCAGTGGTGTCCAGCGACAGGACTAGGGGCAATGGATGCAAACTGAAACACGAGAGGTTTCAGTTGAATATGAGGAAGAACTTCTTCACTCTGAGGGTGGCAGAGCACTGGAACAGGCTGCCCAGGGAGGTTGTGGAGTCTCCTTCTCTGGAGATATTCAAAGCCCGCCTGGATGAAGTCCTGTGTAGCATGCTCTAGGTGAACCTGCTTTAGCAGGGGGGTTGGACTAGATGATCTCCTGAGGTCCCTTCCAACCCTTGTGATTCTGTGATTCTGTGAAGAGCTGCGGTCGGCAGCAGTGATCTGTGCACATCCTAACTGGCTCTGGGCTCCACGTGACGCCGGTGCGATTTGTGTAAGAGGCATGGCAAATACCAGCACTCATCGCAGGCTCTTAAGGTGTGTCCACCCACTTCAGAAAACAGACTGTGCTCCACAGGACTGCTCTCTTACGCCACAGCAAGTGCCTTTCTAATTGAAAGGCCGCTCAGCTCCAGAAAAATCAAATCAACTTTTGTCAATCCTCAAGTCATGTCCTCAGCTTGGTACAAGTTATAAAAGCACCGTAGCCTGTACTGCTCTCTATGGTTTCGTGGTCCTTTCCTTCAGAAACCACCTCCGCTTGGTTGCGGCTCAAGGGAACTGTGGATTCCTCACTGAAGGATGTATGGAAATTTTATGTCCAGCTTATTTGCAACTTGAGGAAAGACACAAACCAACACATCCTATTTTGAAGAAAACCTTGTATCTAAAAAATGCAACTGAGCTTTTAATGATGCTGCTTTCTCCTGTGATTTGTGGTCTTAGGCTTTGGCTTAAGCTGCCATGGGATGGGCGAGTCACCTCTTGTGTTAGAGCTGTCCTGTATATTCATTTTCAGTTTATGGATTTATTGTTTGGGGAAAAGTAAGAGAACGTAGCTCTGCTGAAGCCAAAGAAGTCTGAAGGGGTACACAATCAACTAAACCATGATGCATTAAACCCAAGCAAATCCTGCCTTGAGTTGTCTCCGTACAATTTCAACCTTGACTCACTATAGCTTTGCTTTCACAAGCGGCCGCTGGGCGCTGGGATGCGCCCTGTACCACATCTTCCCTACAAGTACTACACGTTCAGCTGCGGAGGGAAAAAAATCTGCTGGCTGCTTTGCACGCTCTACAAGGTGATCTCTAAGCGTAAGAGCGGGTGTTATCCTGGTCCCAGTTAATGCGTTTGATATGCAATGTGTATCAGACGTTACTGAGAGATGTTATCCAGCTGGATTAGCGGCAGCCACATTAATTCTAACTCCCTCTTCAGAAAGGAAAAGATAAAGAGGTGTGCACACTCCCTTCCCCTCCGTACTTTGAGCAGGGCTGCCTTTTCACTGCCTTGGGAAATAGTGTTTCAACACGGGGAGTAACAGAGGCTCGTGTTACTGATGGATTTGACCACAGGGTATGTGCTTATTTCACTTACAGCTTTTGCGTCAAGTCTTTCGTGGAGCAAACACTGACAATGGATTTCCTGTACACCAGGGGACTGCCTCACTCCAAAATAACAATACGCACGCAACCTCAGGCCTGGCCCTCGGCCAGCATCAACTCCCTGACTTCATTCCGAATGTCCACATAATGCTGGCAAGTCCTTTCATTTCAGTTGGTTTCTGTATTTTCTCCAGTTTGTACTTCAGTAATACAGAGGAGATCATTGGGTATCTGTTAACTTACAGAAGAGATCATCGGATTTCTCTAACTTCCACTTAAAGCTTATGTTTGAGAACTGAAAGTCTGGACCAAAACTAGAATTCTACCAAATCAAATGCAGAAGTTGAGAGGAGGAAAGGAAAAAAAAAAAAAAAAAAAAATAATCCCAGTCTGTTACCTTGCCACACATTTGTGCCTGTGAACGGAACAGTGAAACTCCCTAAATTCCTTCAAACCCATATTGCAGTCTTACAGCTTTATGCTGAAATACAGACATTGCTCCTCAAACAAACCTAGTTTCTATTGTCCCAGTTGGTTTGCCTCACGCTGGTTTTATCGCCTTTGTAATTCTCTGGAACGTGGCCATGGGATTTAAGTCCAAAGTTCAGCTTACACAAAGTAAACTGTCTTCAAAGCTTCAGGTAGTTCTGGTCAAATAAATGGGACATCAAGACTGTGACATTATTTTCTTAATGGCAAAACGGCAAAATCCCACCGCACTCCACTGCTGAGAGCTTGCTGATAATTTTCCTCATTGCACACTGCTGTTTTTTTTAAATTTCTATTCCATTTTCTTAACAAACACACAGAGAAAGCCTGATTAAACTTCTGCAGATCAAAATACAGCCCTAGACCCTGGAGCGTTCTGCTTATCCACACGATTACATAGCACAGCAAAAGCAGGAGCGCTGCGGGTCACCTGCCGCCAACTAACTTTGGTCTTACTGGAGAGAGAACCTGCAAAGCTGAGAAAAGTTCTGCTCTCACAGCCTGGGCAACACCTTCCTGGGCCGCAGAGACCGTGGGGCTGGGGGTCTGGTGGGCTGCTGGTGTTTTCACCTGACGCTGCTGTAAGCAGCTCCTTACTTTCGGCACGCCAGCTCCAAGGTATGGATGATGACAGTTCTGTTATTTGACAGTTTTAAGAGTTGCTCAGCAACATGCCATTTCATATTTATTTTTTAGCTTCCTCATATGCAAAAATTTACAATAGGTTTTTTTAAAAGAGACGAGAACTTCTTGATTTGTGGAAGCTCTTGCCTAAGAGCAATAAATATTTGGTTTGCAAAACTTAAAGGTATCTTTTAATGTTGGCAAGTTAAAATGCTTTTCTGATGTCTGCTCTTCAGGCTACCAAGAGATTCCTTGTGGTTAACCAGCTTCACCTGCTCCTACTTAAGCTTTTGTCACCAGACAGCATGTTGGACATCTGACAGTCCCATCAGCTGGGCAGCCTGTGTTCATAACCAGTGTCCCTGCTAGAAAGGGTACGCGCTGGGGCCTCTTTCCTAGAAACTCCTTTCTGCCTTATGCAAGGCAGATGCCACAGTTAACGTGCCAGGTTGGTTTTGTTACATGTAATTGGCTTTTTATTTTTAGGTTGGAAAAAAAAAAAAAGCTAGAAATTCCCATCAACTCCTAGGCAGCACGCTGGAGCATAATGGATTCAGACAAAAAAGAAAAAAAAGAAAAAGGAAAAAAAGGAAATAAAAATAAGTCCGCCATGCATTCTCTTCTTAGGCTTTAAAAGTCAAAGCAAATAAAAATTTAGTGGCACCGCGGCAATATATTCCATGCTTTGGAAAAAAAAATAAGGCGAGAAAATAAATCCCCCCTTCAACAGCCCCAAGATAGCCACAAGTCAGCCAATGACTAACAAATTCTGGAGCAGTGTCAAAGTACCCTGTGCCAGGATTAAAAGCATATGTAAACTTTACGGCTATGGTTATTCAAGAGTAATCTCAAGTGACCTCTCTCTGTCTGCTGGCTTAATGAACACTTAGAGAACTGATCCTGCAGCTAGCCAGAGCCCTGAGTGCTTTTTATGACAGACCGTTGAGAGCAATTTCAAATAGGGTAAGAGCTCAAACCGATGAAGATCAGACCTTTTATGTCTGCAGGTATGAAAATAAAGGGCAGAGCCATTTGAGAAGATAACAGAGGTTCAGAGAGAGCCAGAAAACCTCTAACAGTATCTTGAAGTTAAAGGCCCTGTTCAACTGTTATGGCCCTGTTATGGCCTCAAGTTGTGCCAGGGCAGGTTTAGGTTGGACACTGGGAAAAATTCCTTCCCCGAAAGGGCTGTCAGGCACTGGAAAGGGCTGCCCAGGGAAGGAGTCAAGTCCCCATCCCTGGGGAGCGTGGCAGACGTGGTGCTGAGGGACAGGGTTTAGTGGTGGGATGGCAGGGTTAGGGGAACAGTTGGGGTTGGTGATCTTAAAGGGCTTTTCCAACCTCAACGATTCAATGATTCTATTCTATGATTCTAACTGCTACTTATTCATCTTCAGCTTTCCTCCTATTTACTGTCTACAGGTTATGGAGTAGATCAGTGATATCAGTGGTCTAGTATAGCACTTAGGACTAGACTATCTTCCTGGTGTCCAAGATGGACTTAGGTGGGGGAAAGATGACTCAAGATTGCAGCAAACTTGAGTTTGCTTGAAAAAACCCAACTGGCTGGTCAGTCAGACAAATCCCACAGTGCATCTGTGGTTTGTGGCATCTCAACTACAAGGTTCCTCCAGGCTCGTTGGAGTGTAAGACCCCACAAACACCTCTGATGCTCAGGTAAGGTGCTGGCATGCCGGCCCTCTCTCCATTTATTTGGACTCCCCAGCTGCACACCAACCAACTAGCCTCCTCCACTTTGGTCTGCTCAGACCATGCTCAATTCCATACCATAACAACTTACGCACCTGGGCCATCAGTTGTACCAGTGGTTTAGGGCACTGGGACACAAGGGGCTCTGGGCTCCTTTATCCCTACATGCTCGAGGGACGCCCCTTGGGTAGACTTACCCTGGGGTCTGACACCGTACCAGCACTCATAGTTTTGTTAGGAGTCCCCAAGCCACTGCCACCCAAACCCTCCAAGCCATGCCTATCTGCCCTGTGTAACTGCACACTTGCTGTGCTGGGGACGTGGGTTTGCCTCTGAGCTGGGTTGATGTGAGGATTCGCTGCCTTTCAGCCAAGCAGACGATTGCCTGAGCTGGTGAAGTAGGTGCAGGCAAGTCTGTTGCTCTGAACCTCAGCCCCCCGTCCACAATACATGGGTGGCAGCATTTGCCCTATGATAGGTGCAACACAAAGTTAATAAACGTAAGGGAGACCAGCAAGCACTACAAATTTACACAGTAACTTTCCAGGAGACAAAATTTAACCTTAGTCCCTGTCCTTTAAAAACACAAGAACACAAAACCACCAGCAAAACAGGCTGACATATTCCTTGTAAACTCATGTAATCAAACAAGTGTATTTTTGCCGCAGTCCTTCGCTCATTCTTTCTGGTATTTGTCTGCCAACATTTCTTAGTTTTTCATTTGACTCTCTGATGTACGTTCAGATTTCTTTTTTTCACATAAGAGTTACTATGAACCACTGTTATCGTGGTGCAGAGGATTAGCAGAAAGGAACACCAACAGTGCTCACCACCTCATCAAAAGCGCACAGCCTCAAGAAATAACATCATCATTAAAATGTCACTATCTCGACTGTAATTACACACAGTTCTCAAGATCACATGCTTACCCAGATTATTGTGTGCTGGAGACATAGGGTTTGGTGATAAGTTTGGAGAACCTGAAAATCAAGATGTTATTATTAGTACCATGGCATCCACACAAGGAAAAACACTTGCACAAAATCTTCAGTGCTGCCCAGGCTTATTGGAGGGATAACCCACCTCTCACTAAAGTCTCGTTTCGTGACACCAGCAGCTTCTCTGATGTTGATTACACTTCACATGAGCTTCCAAATGCTATTATTGACAACATCAACTTGCTACAGCTGCAATACTGCTAAGCATCTTCATAACGCATTCACTTAAGCTTAACCCATTCATTTTCAACACGGAGCATGCAGCTGCCTCCTTTACTTTCACTGGCATTATCAAAACTCCAGCCACCATCATGACAGCTACAGTCAAACCCAGTCAGCTGGGCATCTGAGAGCTTGACTTTACATTGCTAGGCACAAACCATACTCGTAAGAGTCGAAAACATACCCCTTAATAGCAACAATTCTTACTGGTTTTGGGACAATGGAATATTGGATCAAGCTATACAGAGCTGACCAAAGAACTGTCAGAATTTTATCCCCAATCATTTCAATTTGGTCCAAAAATTCTATGCATATATTCCGAATATCTGCACTTGGACATCCAGAGCAATTTCCAGTCTCTGGTTGGCACATGGATGCAGGCATGTGGTACAGCCCGTTTTTTCTGTTCTTCTCACATTGAGTTTGGCTGGTTTCTTTAAAATGTGGTTGTTTTTTTTTTCTATAAAGAGGGAAGTCCATGGCATCTGAAGGAAGGGATATAGCATTTGAACATAAATTGGGTATTTATAGCATCTTCCAGACCAACCCTATTCCAGTCCACTTTCCCAAAAAGCCATACATACATTCCACATGTCAACCACATTACCAGTAATTGTATGCACTAAAATGGTTTGTGTCAATGGGCTTATGTTTGATGTACAAACCAACCCACACTGCCTTCCTCCATCTGTATAACTGCGGTGAAAGACTGCAAATCAGTCATCCCTCTTTTAGAATCCCACGTATGCTCTAGAGCTGAAGGCATGCACAGAAACCAAGGTATTTGTGCGCAGTATTTGCATTAATTAGGTTCTGCATGTCTGTCTGTACGTGAGTGCCGTGTATTTGCATATCCCTCTTGTAAAGCATCAGCCCTTCTAACCAGGGACATGTTTTTGCTTTCAAGCAAAAGTTTTACGAATTCGGAGGCTGATTCAGTGGTTCGTACTCATAAGCACCACTCAGATCAATAAGATGCCTTAAACTGTTACTCCCAGAAAGATGAGACCTGGATGTTTAATTTGAAAGTGTTGATACAGGTTAGCATGAACACTAAGGCTGCTCATTCTAAACCTGGTTATTGTTTTCTTGGCAATGAGAGAGAACCGAGACTTTCAACTTTCTTCGGGATATATCCACTAAATGATAAACCCATTTAAAACCAAACCTCCTACTGGTCATTTAAATTACAGTTAAACAGGACATTTTGGCATGTAAACAACAAAATTATCAGAAAAATGCCTCTGCAGGGAAGTGCCAGCTACGTGCAAAATTTTCACATGCGTACAGATGCATGGACACAAACACAACACATACTATCATCCTTAGATGTCTCCCCGCTGTTTCTGGTTCCTCCTTAGTACTACTGCCTGATGCTGGACGTTGGGGAGAACAGGAACACGCTGTATCTTTCACCAGCAGCTCTAAAACATACAGCCCTGTGCCTTACAGGAGATGTCAGGCTGCATTTGCATTCCAACAGGGATAAAATTCCTCCAACCGCCATCTGACCTTCAGTGCCTCAAAGAAAAACTTTAAAAGAATCTCTGACATGTCCTAGAAAGCTGCAGCAAATGGCTGAAGATGACTTACCTGCATCCATGCTGGGGTTCATCTGGTGGTCACTAGTTTCTCCATCCTCACTCAAGTAGCCTGGAGGAGGTGTCTCTAGAAGTAGAAAATGATCATACTGTCATTGCAACTGGATGCAAAGTCTGGATTTTGGAGACCAAAACCATTTACTTTATTATTCACATGGAGCTAAATTTCTTTTTTATTACTTTTCTTCCTCAAGCTGCTGAAAGGAGGAGCTGACACAACAAGGATGATAGCCATAGCGTATTTGTGAGTAACAGAGGAGGGGAAACAAAAAAAATGTGGATTTTCAGTCCCATAAAACTTTAAGCCATGTAGGCAGTTTTCTGTCCACATATTTTTCCTCTCCTGGTGTGCAGCTGCATAGCTTGTCCATGCAAATAAGGTGTAAATTGCTTGTAAAAGAGATACATAAATAGAAGAGCTCAATTCCATCAGAAATTTAGAGAGTTTTACTCAAATTAAAATGGCTGAATTCCATTCGAATCTAAACTTGCTAAGGGGAACATCAGCTTTAGATTTCCCAATAAAATGAGTACGTATACTGAGTGTACTGAAGGGAAGAGGTGAGTTTAAAGAAAACAAACCAAAACTATAAACAGCACTCTTGTGTGTCTCCATTTACAGCTTTCATCTATTTTTGTATAGGTTCCCACTCCTTAGCTTCATAGTAACGATGGAAAGAAAGACTTTCCAGTCATTCAGCTTGGCGTACATAGACACGATCCACTGTGCTATATGACCCTTTTCCCTCCGCTTGCTGTATGGAAGACATACAGTACCTGGAATGTAGTTGCTCTGTGGCTCGATACCTGCTGGGAAGTTAGTGTTCTCTGGAATAGAATGACTATAATCATCTAACGGCGGGAACTCAGCTGGGATCTCTGTGTGCCGAGGCACCAGCACTGGAGGTAACACTGCAGAAAGGGAAAAGGAAAAAAAAAAAAAAATAGAACAGCATTAACAGCTTTAAAATAAAATGACTGAAACCCTAGAAAATGAAGAGAAACCAGTTTGGAGAAACACCCTTAAATACATGCAACACCAAAGTCGCTAATTAAGGGCCACAATTTGATACTTGCTTCTGAAATAACAGCAGCAGTTAAAGATGCTATTCTTAACATACCTCAGCTGGGGACGGGATATGTGCTTATCTGAACACACCTAGTCTGTCTGCCCCTTCTGAGGCAAAGGAACAGGTCTTCTTGAAAAACCATCTAAGAGAAGTTACACTACATGATTCAAAAGGAATAAATTGCACATAAAATGGAACAGCAAGGTGGGATTAGCATAAACATCCAGACTGGTTCTGCAGATTTGTACTGACACGCAGCAGAACTATCTGCAGTTCCAGACGAAAGTGTCTTCAGAGGTAGAGGGAGACTTCAGAACGGGAAGTTCAGTTGTGCTGGGAGATATTCTTCGATCCACTCCAACTTAACAGTAAGTTTATCCTTAATTTAATGCCAACAATTAGGGATGCATACAACACTGCCGTAGTTCATACTTGTACCTACTACGTGTGTGAGTTGTTTTCGTGCACACGATGCCAAATTAGGAACCTGGCAACAATGCAGCCTGCTTGACTAGGATTTTATCAATTTAAAATGGTATTTCCCCCCTGAGTGCAGATTCATAAATTATTCCACTCTGTACAGTAAGAGATTATCATCAATAATGGATACACTTTGGTTTTAAAACCCTACGCCTGCTGCTTTATTCCATTTTGAAATGCACTTATAAATCCCTTATGTTGGTCCTGAGAAGCTGAGGTATCCACACACAGGGTCAGCAGTACCTGGGGTTTCCACTCTTTGGTAATGATAAGGATTCACGCAGACTTCATCCTTCTTCATGTTAAAGGCGTACTCGCACATCTCCATGGCACGCAACTCATGGTGGCTATGGAGGTCCGGCCATCGCCACAGCCGGCAGTAGATCACATGGGGAAGACCTTTCCGGTGAGATACTTGCAACCGGCCATCTAATGATCTGCAGACAGAACATCAAAATGATAGCATTAATGACCCTGGCATTAGTACGTGGGTAGTACTGACCACATCCCATCAAACGCTACATGGGGGAACTTCATCTGAAGACTGCAGGCTTCAGCAGGAGGTTGAAACCATAGGCTCCCCAGCCGCTTCGGTATCCTGACACAATCCCAAAAGGTGCCAGTCACCAAAACCCGCTGAGACAGTGCTGCAAGGAGGCATTTCGGTCCCAGTCTTCAGGCTGAGAAGTTACCTCTGAAAACCAAAAAATGTTTGGTTTACGTAACAGCCCTCCTCTGGATTTATTAATTTTCTGGAGAAAGGTTAATTTGGAGGCAGAGACAAGAGCTACAGCAAGCAAGAATACATCAACTTAGTGGTACTTCTTAAGCATTTACGGGTGTCCTAACAAACCGGCCGTTTGCACAGCTCTCAACAATTTATGCTGTGCAGGCAAAAGTATTACACCTTAAAATATGTGCTAATAAAACTGGACTTTTAAAATACAGAGAGACACGAATTTCCATCGTGACAAAACCAGCCAAAATTGATAGAGATACCTGTCCTTTAAAGGGCGTTCACGAACATTACGAACAAGCAAGGCTTCCAGTTTCATTTGCCAAAGTGCAGCTTGAAAGCAAAAGTCTTCTTCAGCATTGCTTACTTTTGTTTTTACATTCAGCCTGTGTCTCCTCCAACTCATTTTTCACCTAATCCTACCCTCACCCCAGAATAGCCTGTTCCTAGCACACCTTCCTGGGAAGCATGACAAGCGTGTTCAAATCTTCTCCAGCAGAGGAACGGTTTGGAGCAGGGTCTCCTCCATCCTGAATGAGGGCTCCGCTCCCTAAGCCACTGCACGGGAACTGCCCCCAGGCACTTTCTTTGAAATCTAGCCCTTCATTTCCCTTGCTTTTCTTAAAGACTGAAATGAAACACTTCAGGGGGTTGGTGAAAAGAAGTATTTCTATTTTTTTAATTTGTCTAGGAAAGGAAAAAAAAAAATTGAAATTTTACTCTGAATTATTTCTCTTGGTTCTTTGTGTTGGCAGCCAATCTAGAAAAACCAAACCAAACCACACAAACAATTATTCAAACAGTGGTTGCGCTAGTCTTGGCTGCCCTAAGAGAGTTTTTCCAAAAGCTTCTCTGGCAGAGCTTGGTAACACGCACACCTCTTGTAAACACTGCTACAACAACGAGGAAGGCAAAACACAACCAACTCAGGCTATTCCTGACGAGCACTTGATTTAGGGGAGCAGGAGAACATGTCACAGAACTGCTAGGTATGAAGTATGCAAGGAGTCTACGCCATCGCTGAAGGACTTGCTGGTACAGGTTACAAAACATCTAAAACCTGCCAGTATATTACAGCCCTGAAAAATGCACAACGCCCACGGTTATTATTTATAGTATGTATTTATAGTATGTATTTCTTCATATTGGGCCTGTTATTTATGGGTCATGCATTCTCTTCAGGCTGCTCTGTGACAGGGTGACCAACCAGCTGAGTGTCTGGCACATTTTCCAAGTGTGTTCTTATGCCAAGCGCCTTCTGAAAATGGGAAAGCAGAGATCGGTCTTCCCAGGTGGAAGACATGCAAGGAGGGCACCAATGTCTAGAACCATCTGTGGAAGGTGGGAATCTTGGTATTGATTTCAATAGGGACAAGACTTGACTTATGTGACCCCACAACTTGTCAAGTTTGGAAAAATTAAAAAAAAAAAACAAAACAAAACCAACAAACCGGAAGTGTGAAAATAGTCACCAAATTTAACCAAAAGAGAATAGGCTGAGACAAGGAACAAAACCGGATTGCTTTTCTGTTCCCCTTTCAAACATCTTTGCTCTCTTGTAAGGATATCTTGCACCTAAGTGAGGGTAAAGGAGAAAAAAGAAGACTTGGAGACATTATTCCACATATCCCGCAGGAGTCACAACCATGGCAAGGTTCTTACTGTGCCCAGTCCCCCTCAGCAGACGCACATCACAGCAGCACAGACAGATTTGGGTTGAGGTCAGCAGCCGAGATGAGGGGACTAGCACAAAGTGTGTAGGACTGGGATTACTTCCGTGGATGGGTCTCTCCCTACATTTCCCAGCACAGAAGAAACTCTTTATACCTACAACAAACCTCCCCAGCCAGCTGGAGGGTAAAGTGCACTTCTTCCCATCGCCCCAGGGTTCTTGGTAAAAGCTATGAAGCCTTTACGGAAGCTGAGCCAGTACATCCACACGCCTGACTCTGTCTTGGGATGCAGCGGCCCTCACCACCAGGTTGATGGAGCCCTTCTTGCAGGAGACAGCGGAGACAGACACCAAGCCACTGTTGCCTGAGCAGTCCCCAAATCCCGAAGAGCTTTGGTGGTTATCTAAAATAAAAGCAGCCTAAAAGCCTAACATAGCTCTCATCCACTAGTATCACAGCAACTCATTTTTGTTAGCAGAGACCGCACACGGCGTAAAACCCTTTGTGCTTGCTACCTACCACTGCTCGCGGCATGAATGCCGTCTGTAAGGCAGAAGAGATGGACTTCTCTACAGTCTTATCTAAAGACTTTCTAAAGTGACAGAGCCATATGTTTTGTTTTCAAATAGAACAACCTCCCCTTCTCCCCTCTCCCCCCAATAAGAAGATAAGGTAAAATAAATTTCCCCCAAGCCCTGGGGGCTAATTACATTTTTATGATTGTGAAATCTCTCCTCAGGCTCTGTTAAGGGACTTGGGACAAAATAACATCGTCTGCATGCTCTTGGGAAGAACGTGGCTAAGTAACGGGGCAGCTTGCTTTCTTTCTGCTGTCCTGCCTCAACCCTCAAGGACTATTTTCTCCAAAGCAACAAATAACTGGTGGGGCTGAGATGGGACACAAGATTAGATGAGCATACACTGTGCTCTACTAAAGGCAGCTTTTTGTGTAGATACAGCACTCCAATTGCCACATCTTTATTAACTAATTGAATGCTCAGTCGTAGATGCAAACACTGTCTTGAGCACCCAGTCATCTCACTTACAGACGATCTAGGCTGCAGTCTTAAGGGCATCTGCACCAAGCTATGGGACTGGCACTGTCTTGATGAGATGGTTTTCCTCATGTCCAACACATCCCCGTTCTCACAGTCCTGCCCTATCTCATCTCCCTTCCTTCCTTGGCTCCTGTCCCCTCAGCATCATACCACAAGCTGGCTCAGGTCTCTAACTTGGCAGAAGACTATCCACTTTTTCATGGGTTAGAGGGATGTAACATTTCTTGGAGGAACCTGATGAAAGCCAAAAGCTGGTGCGAGATGAGTTCGTATGTACTTTTGTTAGCATGTCCCACAGCTGAGGAGGCATTTGACTAGCTCACCGCCTCTGGAGTCCACGGCCCTCAGGGGTGACCCAAGCAGATGTCTCTCCCACATCCATGTGCAGAGTAATCTGATAATAAACTCAACAGCACACACAACTTCTACCCTTTCTTGGTCCTGTTCTGAAGCACAGTCTGATCTTCAAGGTTAAAGTATTACTCAAACTACCTGAGAGCTCAGCACGTCCAGGCTTCATTAAAATTAGCAGAGTCTGAGCACCAAATTTTCCATTGGGTTACTGAATTGTTCCTCCCTCTTACCTTTCTTTTAACCAGCCTGGGTTGAGCAGATCTCCCTGTACATATGACTCGATACATTTATTATTCCATACTACCTAACAGGGTTTCTTTTAAATATACCAAGGGTTCTTCGGCCAAAAATTCAGTATTGGATGGCTCTTTCCAAAAGCAGCACCATTTATTTCAGTGGGACACTACATCTTCCAAGTGTCTCTATACCACGTGGTAGGATTAAATAGCAAAAGTTGTAAAGAGCTCTTCTTTTCAGTGTCGATGTTCAGACCGAGTGATGCAGACTCTCACTGCCAGAGGGTGTTCTAGCGCATCTTTCCTAACTAGCACATATCCTGAACTTGCAAGATAAGAACGAGAAAATATTGTGATCCACAAGCCTGTTTTACTAAGGGAAATACGATGAGCTGTAGTTATCACCGCCTGCAAGTGTGAGAGTATGTAGGCTACGAGAGCCTGCAAGATAAAGTAAAAACAAAGCCAGAACCCAGCAAGATTGCTGCGCTGATACCAGTTAGCGGTGGTTTATAACAAAGAAATGAATTCAACAATGACTCAGAAAAACAAAGTCCTGATCCGACAAGACAAAGAAGAAGCAGAGAGGAGGAAGACAAGGGCTCGGCAATGTCAAGGATCGGCCCATTGAGAAGAACGGCAGAGACCAGCACATCCCCACCTGAACGACAACTACGTGGCCAGCAGACCCACTGGGTGGCTGTGCTGGGAGAGCAGACTGATGCCTTGCAGCGTGTTTGGCTCAGCCCACGTTGTGGGTGTTAGCAATAAAGATAATGACTGCGCACCCATATCCTGCACATGGGATACAGCTCAGGAGACTCAGTGCTTGGTAAAAGACGCCCAAGGAGAAGTTGGCCAAAGGCTTGAGGGTTACAGTATGGTGCATTCAGACATGATCAAGAGGAATCCAGTGGAGAGGATAGTCCACATCTAGGGCAGTTAAAACCTAGATTTAAAAAATACTGAATGAAGAAAGAGAGACCAAGGCTCCAGGAATGCAGTCAGGTAATTTAATTGCTTGCACAACAGCACAAGGCATGGTCAGGACAACATTGCAGTGTCCATAAGAAATAACCAAAAACCCCTCAGGCTGCACACCTTTAGGATGGATCCATCATTTTATGTTGCTACAAGGCATTTACCGGGAAAGTTTAACACATGAAACTGCTACTCCAAACCATCCAGACTGCTGCTGCTCAAAGAAGAATGGGCAACTCTTAATAGCAAAAACAGAGAAGGGAGGAAAAGAGAATGACAGAAGCATTGAA